CATAAAAAGTAGACTAAAAGTCCTATTTTTTAGTTTAAAAGAAGTATACTAATAGCACACTTGAATAAACTTATTTTTCGTAAGGGAAATTATATACTTTTACAGAATTGATTTGCTGTTTGAAAGAATCCTCATATACTGGAAAGATGTTAGCAAGAATATTTCTTTACAATACTTTGCAGTTGTCAGAGATATAACAGAACATGTCAGAACAGCGTCACACACTGCGGCCTACAGTGAGCAGAGGCCGGGGGCTAGCGTGAGGAGCGGCGGGACGGTTAGAGTGAGCAGAGGCGGGTGGGCTTGAGAACGGCGTGGCCGGCGATTTCGACGAAGGAGCGTCCGGAAGGACATGTGACGACTCTGGGCTGAACTCCGCTTCGTCCACGGTGAAAGCCGATCCGGCGATTGACAGCGCAAAGTTGTAGTATTTCCTCAGCAACCAGCACGGATCAGCTCCAGGCATGACGAAGCAGATATCATCCTCTTTTGGAAGACCAAACAAAGTAGTTTCGCTTTCACAACGAAGCACACAGCGTCTTTACGACATGGCGGCGGAAACAACAAAACTACAGTGAGAATAAAGGTTACGCTTTCTTTCTTTGCATAAACCATCGCACAGCTCACCTGTTCCTTCAGCCCGCATGCAGTCTTTGTTTGTTTTATCTTGCTTCATTGATTTATCCTTCAGTGCTGCCATCCATCCATCTAACCAGCCCTATTTTGTATTCTGGTAATCACCTTTCTAAAAGGAACAGTTCACCCCAAAACAACAATTAGCTCACCTTCATGTAATTCCAAACCTGTATGATCCCATTGGCTTTTATTGTATGGCCAAAATAGATTTGCATTACAGCAAAAGATTACAGATTTGAAATGACATTTTTTGTGACCTCTCCTTTCAAGTGATCACTCTGTTGTAACAAAATCATCTGTTATAAGTTTAATCTAAGCTCTTTGGTCTCTTTTTGTTATGTTAATAATAGGAAACGAATTGACACGTGTTAGAGTTGGAAGACACTTATTATACTGTGTTTCCTTGCTTTTGTTTCACACACACTAAGTCAGTCTCTTTGAAGTCCAGCAGAATGAGGAAAGGGGGCTCCTCTGCACTCATGAAGTATTCATGCCAGTGTGTGTGAAAGTGCATGCTTTGCACGTCAGCGACGTGTGTTCGTGTGATTGAAAGAGAGAATGTGTGTGTGTGCAGACAAGAGTGTGTGGAGCATGCTGCCTATCAGTGGTGCTTTGCACAGCAGCTGTGTACTGACACTGTGTCTGGGAGGGGAATGGAAAGGGGGCTGGGCTGAGGAGAGAGCGAGTGCAGCAAAGAGAGAGGGAGAAGGTGAGAGAGACTCACCAGATTGAGAGAGACGCGGAGAGTAGACGGAGAGGACCGCTGGACTTCTGCCAGGGTTTCCCAGCAACAGCAGAAGCAGGAATCGATTCTTTTTTTCCCTCATCCCAGGGGATTTTCCTTTTCCACTGCCTTCCCTGGGAGATCTGTCATTGGGAGAGTGGCGGAGAGGAGCGCAAAAGAGTGGAGGAAAGGAGTGCAGCAGAGAGGAACGGCGTGCCCCCGCCCAGCTTCGATGCAGAGGTGAAGTGAGGGCTACCTTGGAGGGAAGAGGAAAAGAAAAATGTGATGAAAAGTTGAAAAGTTTTGGGTTGCAAGCTCTTCTGACAGGTGAGAGGAAGCGCTAAACTTTTGGAAGTTGATCGCCTGTGACTTGCTCCGTGGAAATAGAGTGTGGCGGAAAATGCACCTCCGCAGGAGCGCCACGTACCTGTTTGTTATACAGAAAACTTTTGAGGGTCGTCATGAGCGTTTCTGACATCTCCTTATCGCCCTGTTCATCTTGTAGCACCTGTATCCACTTCCTCGTCTGGGAATTTGCATGAAATGGACCCCTGATGACAGTGACAGTAATCACATCGCCCCGTCCTCCAGCAGACGCCTCCAGCCCCCTGTCTCCAGCCCGCCTTCCGCACCCGCCCCGCCTCGCTCTCACATGTGCTGGGAGCCATGGAGTGCTCTTCTCGGGGTCTGAAATGAACAAGTTAAAAAGCTGCTTTTCTTACCGCTGTGATGATATGCCCTCTGAACTGAGATAATGGATTGGAGAGAACTGTAAGTATAATGGACTCTTTTGAGTTGTTTACGGACGTTATATGCGTTTTTCAGTTGGGTTTGTGCAATTCAACTCATTCTGGCAAACCAAGGATGTTGGGGTTGATTCCTAAGGTTTCTTTGGATGTCAATATTTACTCACTCTCAATTCTTTTTAAACCTGTGTGACTTTCTTCTGAAAAACACAAAAGATTTCAGTTGTTTCAGTTGTTTTTGCCCTTACTATGAAAGTCAGTGGGGTCCAAACAACACTGAACCCAATTAATTTGAACTGTATGGCCAAAACAACTAGATATTTTTTGAAAAAAAGTCAAAAAAGTTTTTGTTTGATTCTATAAAAGAAAGAAATTTATACAAGTTTGGAATTACATGAAAGTTAGTAAATTAATAGAATTTTTCATTATTGGGTGAACTGCCGCTCAAACATGCTGCTTCATTGTTGAAAAGCTAAGTATATCTATACTGTATAAAATTAAGGTTGTAAAAGTGCTTCAGTAATCACAGTTGCATTGGTTTGCTCTCAGTTGCAACCCTAAAACCTCACTTGCTGTAAAACTAGTAGCAGCGATAGCAAATCCAAAGGGAGACTGTTTACTGCAGGGCAGGGAAAGGAGATTTAACAGGTGGGTGCATCTGGATAAATCCCAGCCTAGCATATCGGAGCTCACTCTACCATGCTGCTTTGCACCCACTCTGGTCACTCACCTTTGTTCGCTCCAGACTGATATCTCAATCTTTTGTGTGTGTGTGACTGTGTTGTGCTTCATAAAGAGCTTGTAAAGCATTTGTCGTGCAGCCAGACGCGGTGAATGCGGCTCTCTGCCCTACGTGTGGGAGTGGGTCTCCTCTTTATGTTAGAGGAAGCGCTGTATGTGTGTGTGTGTGTGAATAGGTGAGGTGTGTGGAGGAGGAGGCAAAGAAGAGGCTTTGTCCCCATAGGTGGGTTTAACATTAATAAAACCCTCCTCCTCTAACTCTAGCATTTTTTCCCAACCCCTTATGCCCCCTATTACGAGCTCTTCATTTTCACTCTTAGTCTCTCTCGCTCATTCACACCCAGAGTCCAAAATTAACAATTGACAAATGCCAAATGGGAATAAAAATTGGCTTTGGTGAGTAAACAAAATGCCCTGCTGTTTACTTTTTATTTATTTATTTAAATGTGTGTATTATTTAATGTATTATTTAAATATTATTACATTTTTTATTTACTTTTTATTTATTTAAATGTGTGTATTATTTAATGTATTGTTTAAATATTATTACATTTTTTATAAAAATTTTAGGAAGTAATAAAATAATACAAAAATATATATAAACTTAAAATATTAATATATATGTTTTTAATAATGGCTGGTAAGATTTATTTATTGTCAGTAAATTTTTTTGCAATTTATTAAAAAATGCAAACTTAATTATGCTTTGTCTCAATTTAATCATGCACATAGAGATAATGCTAAGTGCTAATTTCTTTCTGTAATCTTTGTGTGTTTGCACACACATCCCATCACACCTTTTAATGCATGGCACATGCACATTTCCTGTGGGGGCCTGCTCTTGTGTCCTTCATGGAGACTGTTATTACACAGTGTTCTCTGTGATTTTTCACCCCTGAAGAGCCTGTGCTGAAGCAGTTGGAGGGAGAGAGAGAAAGGATGTGAGGAAGAGTGAGACATTTAATGAGCTCAAGCTTTTCTTCTCAGGCCTTTCAACCTCATGCTATCAGGCATAAAGACACAAACATGAGCTGGAAAACACACACAGCTTTAGGTAGCTTGCATCTTTTTACCATTGCCAGAGCAGTTTTTATACACACACACACACAAAGAAAAACAAGTAGATAGAATAGAAAAAATAGAAAGCTAGTGTTTTTTTTAAGCAAAAAAAGAAGATAAATCTAGATAAAGTAGAATTAAAATAGAATAGAAAGTGCTAGAGTTAGAGGGTCAAATAAAGGTGGAACAGATGTGTTTTTAGTCGTTTCTTGAAGATGGCTAAGGACTCAGCTGCTCGGATTGAGTTGGGCAGGTCATTACATTACATTACAGACTAACTAAAGTTGAAAAAGTGAAAAAGCATAATAGGACCCCTTTAACACTTTCTATCAAATGTATCTCTGTGAGTGTGTGTGTGTGTGACTGCACCCCATGCTCTCATTTGATTTTACATGTATTTTATTTAATAATATTATTTAATATTTACACTACTGATAAAACGTTTGGGGTCAGCAAGATTTGTTTTTGTTTGCTTTAAATTAATCAAAAGTGACAGTAAAGACTTTTACAATGTTACAAAAGATTTTAGATTCAAATAAATGGTGTTCTTTTCATCAAACAATCCTGAAAAACTGTATCAGTGTTCTATAAAAATTTTAAACAACAAAACTGTTTTCAACTGTGATAATAAGAAAAGCTTTTTGTGTACCAAATCAGTATATGAAATTTATTTTTGATGGATCATGTGACACTGAAGACTAGAGTAATGCTTTGCCATCACAGGAATAAATTACACTTTAAAATATATTATAATAGATAGCAGTTATTTTAAACTAGCAATATTTCACAATATTTCTGTTTGTACTGTATTTTTGATTAAATAAATGCAGTCTTTTTATTTATTCATTTATTTAGGATCAAATAAATGCACCTCATGTCGTTTTCTTGTGTCCATAACCATATTATTTACTGCTGGATTGTCATGGACTCAACTGTCAATGAGTAGAGAAACTGTTACTCATCCATTCAAATTGTGTTCATCTCAAATCTTTGGAGGACAGATATGGAGCAGTATTGCGATGCAGGTCTAATGCAAGAAGAACCTCCTGGACTTGACTCCTTGACTTAACCTTTTGTTTGCTGATCTTTCACAGGGCTGCCCAGAAGCTGAACCTCTCCAAACGGAAGAAGTGTCAGCCGCTTCCGCCTTCCCCACCTGACCCAGAAGTGCCGTTCTTCTACACTGACGGCTTCAGAGCTGCCCTGCAGCTCTCACCCCCACCTGTACCCCCATGTCTCCTCAGGGCAGGGTCAAAGGTTAAGGACAGCCCCGGCATGGGAAAGGTACAGTAATGTTGTCATTGCTCAAACTTAAAAAGTTGTTTTTGTCTCCTATACCAGTTCTTTAAAGATTTATGGATGGAAATGGTTTGTAAAACATGATCAAAGCTCAAGGTTTTGCCATAAATCAAGGTTTTGAAAATTATTGTAATCTGACAATGAATAATAGGTCATCTTGAAACGATGTTGACGGCTTATATTTTATAATTGTAGATATTTTTTCTTCTTTGTTAATAAAATTACATCATGCATAAACCCCTGATTGCCCTCTGCTCAAGAATGCCCCGTGGGTTTATCAGTTTGGCTGGTTCTCGAGTTACCATCAAAGCAGACTGTGTGTGACAGCATGGGTTGGCCCAGTTGTCCTGATTCCCAGGCTGTTGGAATTCCAAGAATCTCCTTCGGAATGCCAGACAGCATTCCTCACTGTAAGTGACTGACAGGTCGTGGGAGTGGGAAAAGCAATGTATGAAAACAGAAGGGTCAGAGAATGACATCAGGGGGCATTTGAATGAAAGATATATTTCTCTGTCAGAATAGAGCTGTTTATTAGTGCTGGACAGTCTGTGTGTGGAAATGCTTATGATATCCCAATGTCTCGAGGATATTGTGCCTCGTTCTTGGATTATTTGAACACCAGCTTTGTGAGCATTACTTCTGGTGATCTGGAATATTATTTCCTTTAAGTATATGAACAGATCAGATGTCTTTGTATGCTATTTGAGATTGTAAGGCAAAGGAATAAGTATTGTCTGAACCTGTAGCAATTCAAGATAAGTCAGGTTTAAAATAACAGGGATAAAATAAGCAAACTAACAGCCCTGATTCTCCATGCTAGTTGTTTAGTATCAGTGCTGGAGTTTAGTATTAAAACTCCACTTTTTGTGAAAATTACAGTAAAGTAGATTAAACTAAACTAAACTAATAAAACATCTCCCTTAGGGATGCATGATATTAAAATGTTGTCCAACACTACGCTGATAATTGTTTTCATATTAACTAACAGATATTAAAATTCTAGACAATTTTGTTTGAATTGATAAAAAAATAAAAAATAAAATCAGTTGTTTTAAATGCTGCAAGTGAATTTTATGCATAACAAACTTCAATGTGCACACATTTATAATGCATAGAATAAAAAATTCATATTCATTTAGAGATTTGCTTAATATTGCATTTAACTGTGTTTCAAATGAGTGCTTTTAATTATTAACTTAGATTAATTTAGCATTAGATGACAGCAAAGGTAAAAAAAAAAAAAGAAAATCAGTATAACATATCCAGTAGGCCCTACCAACCAATACCAATTAAATTAATAATAATAATAATTCTATTAATGGCCAGTATACAGTATTGTGTATCTCCCTAATGTGGTCTTACAGGCAGTACAGGGATGAGTTGACCATAACATGTGATTTGCCTATAAAAACGCCATCATTCTCAGTGACTGGATGATCACTGTCATGCTAAAGCATGTTGGTACCCATTAGGCAAAGCACGTAATCCCGGGTCACACCAGGGGACTGTTCCTGCAATTAGTGTACTTTGAGTCACTTTGAATGAAGAGCATCTGCTTAATATTAACCCAATGAGCTGAGGTCATGCCCTTGTGCCTTCTTTGAAACATCTGAACATATACTGCTACATCTAGACATGTAACTGACAGTTCCATATATACTCTCTTATGGGACTCTCTAGAGCATCATGAGCATCTCAGCATGTTGCCGCTATTTTGGGTAACAAACTCATTCCTTTCCTTAAAACTCCCTGGAGGTTTAAAAGCCATGGAAGACTGCATTGACCCACGTATGACCCTCCTCCAGCACAGGTGATGCGCTCTAAATAAATTCAAAGATATGGGACCCATTAGAGTCTGGTTTAAGACAACTCATCTGTGGGAAAGTAAGAAGATAATGTGTGTTCTTAGCATTAGATGCTATAATAGACTGCTGACTCATAAACACCAGCAGGTGGTGCAGGTTTTTAATGGCGTCATGTCTGCAGGGAGATGATTCGCTCATTAAGACCGGTGAGGTCACCTGAGCTACTCCTTGAAATGCATCCAGACATCTCTGGAGAAGTCAGCTTATTACATCATCCTCATATCCATTGCAGTTGGATGGCTATGTGAATAAAGAATTTTACTTCCCTTAATTGTGCACCTGATTGTGTTGATGCATTGTGCAAACACAGCATTGGAAAATGTGCACAATAGGCATTAAAAAAGTTTTCTAAAGTCACACCAAAGGCAGGCAGCTGCAAGTGTTTAATGAGTTTTATCAAGAAAAAGACAGTGAAGTGATTGCTAATAAGCTCCACTGAGTTGAAGTATGTTGCCTGCTGATTTTGAGGCACTTGTAAAGGAAATGGGTATAAACACTCTCATTTTTTATTTTTGGAAGAAGGAAATGTCAAAGTGCGGCATGTAGAGAGTAACAGGTGATTGTGGGAAGGCAGCGGTAATGCAGTGAGGGTAATGGAAGTTAATCTGTGTGGAAATGATTGATTGACAGATCTCTGGTGCTTTTGCACTAAAGGGAATAGTTTGATTTGCCTTTTTTATTGCAAATTCCAAAAAATGGATTTGAATTGTATCACTGATAAATTAATTGCTTAAAACTCAGTAATTAAAAGACAAAATACATTTTTGACAAAATACATTTTGCAAGGATGAGCAAGGATCAAGTTTGCAAGGATCTATTTATCTGTCTGTCATTCTGTCTGTTGTTCTATGTCAGTCTGTCTGTCTATCATTCTATCTATCGTTCTGTCATTATGTCTGTCTGACATTTGTCTGTTGTTCTGTTTGTCTATCGCCCTGTCTGTCCCTTTCTGTCTGTTTTTCTGTTGATCTATCTGTCTGTCTGTTTATCTATCTATCTATCTACAGTATAGAATACATGTTCTGTCTCATTCTGTGATAAGAAGCTACATCAGATCACAAAAGGAAGTTATTTCAAACATTCGACATTCGATGTTGTGGAGTATGTCATTGCATTTCACTGTATTATTGGACCTGGATCCCCAAGCTTGTGAAAATAACTTTTCTGGACTACCATGTCAATCCCTATGTTGTAAAAAAAAAAAGTGTTTTTACAATTGGATTTGTTTTATCTTGCCTAGGGTACAAAGTGACTTTTAAAAGCTGCTGGTCTTCCATCTATTCCTTGGAAGGCAAAGCTTAGTCTGTAACAGTCTTTAATGCCAAACATGTCAGTATAAGTAAGGAACATAGTGAGCCTGATTGGGCAACAGAGATCCTTATTGTCTGCCAATTGAATTCTTTATCTCAGTGGAGGACTGTAAACTTCAGGGGCTGTTTGTTGCTGAAAGTGTCCCTAGTGGCAGAGCTATAAAATAAGGTGTTAAACACAGACAGTTGAGTACATTACTGCTTCATTAAGTAGGTGTAATAATAAACTGTTCTGCTTCAGTCATGTTTCACTTTGCTATCATTCATTCCTATGACCGTTTTTGATTTAACTATTTCTATTTTAATATATTTTAAGATGTAATTTATTCCTGTGATCAAAGCTGAATTTTCAGCAGGCTTCTTTCAGAAATCATTCTAATAAAATGATTTGGTGCTTCAGAAACCTTTCTTATTATCATCAATATTACTACTACTATTATTTCTGTGGAAAACATGATATATTTGATATATTTTTTAATATAATGTTTCTATAAAGTGTCTGGTCAGAACATGGCGGGTCTGCTTTCTGTTTTCCAGCCACACTTTACAGCAGGATGTTCTCTAAGTGGGAGCAGAAGGGCTTTGGGAATCTCCGTATTCATCTTCTACTGATTACATGCTTTCCACTTTGCTAGTATGAGGGGCATTCTTGGCCAGGAAACTGAAAGACATTATTCTCAAACCACTCAATAATTGTGAGAATTAGTGGGTGGGAGGGTGCAATTACAGCCGTATGCTTTGAATTCAGCCGCAAATTCAAAAATAACTTGTCACAAATAAAATTATGTAGGAATATAATTATGATATGAGTATAACTGTGTGCTTTGCAGGTGAAAGTAATGGTGAGGATATGCCCTGCCAAAGGATCACGAGACACCTCAGAATCCATGTCCTTTCTCAAGGTAGAGGGCCATAAGAAACAGCTGACCTTTTGTGAGCCACCCACCTGTGCACGCTCCACCTCTGCCCCCACCCCAAAGATGTTTACCTTTGATGCTGTCTTTACCCAAGATGCTTCACAGGTACAGTAATGGTATAGAAACTTGCATTTTTGGCAATCAGAGTAATAAAAGCAAGCATTTTACAAGTTACACTAAGGAGATATTCCCTATTTCCTGTCTGTACTTATAATTTTATACTGAACAAAAATCTTCACAGAATTGATGTCAAACAGGCAGGACATCTATGCTGAGATCAAAGCAATTGCATTAGGGAGATATTCAGTTTTGCTTGGTTAGCAAGGTAGATAAAAGGTTTGTGTTGGTGAGTTGGGGTTATCGTTCCGAGCCCACAGCGCCTGAAGGGATCTCAGAGGAAAAGATAACAGAGCTCTTTTCTCTGCTTCCTCCTGAACTCTTTGGGAGTTTGGAGTCTTTGGGTTTCCTGTCCTAGAAACATCAGGTCTGATGATCAATGACTACCCCACATTGTTCAGAACAAAAGAGGTTTTGAATGAGCATACATCAGAGGTGGTTCTTACAACAATACTGTCAAAGCTTTCCTCAAGCTGCAAAATACACACATAATTCCAGGGTTTGAAATCTTCATCTGTGTCCTTACTGTATTCTGCATCTCTTTGGGAAGTTTCAAGGATGAGCAAGGATCAAGTTCGCAAGGATCTATCTATCTGTCTGTAATTCTATCTGTCTGGCTGTCTGTTGTTGTATCTATGTGTCAGCCTGTCTGTCTGTTGTTCTGTCTGTCTATCATTCTATCTTTCAGTCATTATGTCTGTCTGACATTTGTCTGTTGTTCTGTTTGACTGTCATTCTGTCTGTTTTTCTGTTGTTCTATCTATCTGTCTGTTATTATGTCTGTCGCTCTAGCTGCTATTCAATCTATCTTTGCTCTGTCTGTCCATTTATCTGTTTGTGTTTCTGACTGTCTGTCTGACTGTCTGTCATTCGATCCATCATTCTGTTTGTCTGACATGTCTATTGTTCTGTTTGTCTGTTGTTCTGTCTGTGTCTCTCTTTGTCGTATTGTCTGTCTGTTTTTCTGTTGTTGTTCTATCTATCTGTCTGTTGTTCTGTCTGTTGCTCTGTCTGCCATTCTATCTGTCTATTTGTCTGTCACTCTGTTTCTGTCCGTGTTTCTGTCTGTCTGTCATTCGATCTATCGTTTAGTCATTCTGTCTGTCTGACATTTGTCTGTTGTTCTGTCTGTCTGTTGTTTTATGTATGTGTCTGTCTATCCTGTCTGATCTGTCTGATGTCCATTCTTTCATTCTGTCCATCTGTATTTATATCTGTCTATCAATCTAATGTTCTGTTTACCATTTTGTCTGTCGTTCTATCTGTTGTTCTGTCTGTAAATTTATCTGTCTATCTGTCTGTCTGAATTAGAAATACTCTATGTACAACTAATACTGTAAAACAGTTTGAGTTAGTGTTTAAATCTGGGTTTGTGTCCTCAGGCGGAGGTGTGCTCAGGGACAGTGGCCGAGGTTATCCAGTCTGTGGTCAACGGGGCAGATGGCTGCATCTTCTGTTTTGGTCAAGCCAACCTCGGTTAGTAAACATCTATTCAACCTAGTAGCCCATATTTTACTGTAATTAACTTTATTGTTATGATAACCCACCTCCCTCTGTTACAACCCCTCATACTTTGACAGATAATGCATTGTTCAGAATCCATTTTTAGATGGAGTAGCCATCACCTACAAGAGGCGAAAAGAAAAGTTTTTCACAGTTTTGGCTGCATTTGAAATTTCCTAGCAAGGAGGCAGAGAAAATGCAGGGAGGGCATATGTGTTTGAGCAGTAATAGCGGTTTGCTGAACACAAAGTGCCCTCTTTTTACATTTTGTGTTTGAAAAGTGCTCAGTTTCTCTCTCTCATACTCTCTTGTTGTTCAGCCCCTCACTGTGAGAGACTGTGTGCCTCCCACCATGCTGCTTCAATCCCCCATAGTTAGCTTGGCTGCTCATTTGCTCTGCTTTAGCGTGGTATATTCTCCTATGACTAACATCCTTGTGGGTTTTATTAGCTTAGGTGTGTTTTACATGGACAGTCCTATTATTAACACAAATCCTATTATAGACCTGCTCTTATATCATTATGTAGTCATGTAAAGTTAATCAGTTGACAGTGTAATTTTTATCATGTCTATGTTGACAAATGCTTCTCACTTATTTTATGCCATTTTTTAGCTAAATAAGAACCATGTAAGGACATTAGTATTGTCTTCCTCACATTGAGTAAATACTTAAATTTTATCTTCAGTCATACCAATCTCGAATGTTCAGTTACATCTTTCATTAGCATTAGCCAGTTTTCACCACAGCTCACCTTTACCTCACAGGCAAAAGCTACACCATGATCGGCAGAGACAGCTCTACACAGAGCTTGGGTGTGGCACCCTGTGCTATCTCCTGGCTCTTCAAGCTCATCGAGGAAAGGAAAGAGAAGACTGGCACACGATTCTCCATCCGCGTGTCTGCTGTGGAAATCTGTGGCAGGGAGGAGGTGCTGAGAGATCTGTTGGCTGACTTTTCCACAGGGACTTCCCAGGACAGTCAGGGTGCAGGAATTTCCCTGCGAGAGGATCCGGTCTGTGGATCACAGGTGCATTAGAGTTTGTTTTAGTATGTGTAGGTCTACTTAGTGTTCCTGTAACTCAAATAATAGTGCATGGTGCTAGCAATGCCAAGGTCATGGGTTTGATTCCCAGGGAATTGATTAAATAGATAAATTAAATTTTTAGGTAAAATTAAAAAAAATGTTAAATGTAATGTAATTGAGTGTAACATTATGTCTTGTTTTATATTCACTACCGTTCAAAGGTTTGGGGTCAGTAAGATATTTTGAGTCTCTTATACTCACCATGGCTGCATTTAGTTGATCAAAAATACAGTAAAATAGTAATATTGTGAAATTATTACAATTTAACGGTTTATAATTTATTATTACAATATAACTTTTTTATTTTAATATATTTTAAAATAAATAAATGTAGATGTAATTTTTGTATATATTTTAAAATCAATAAATGTAATTTCTTCAGTGTCATGGGATTCTTCAGAAATCACAATAAATTCAAGAAACATTTCTTCTTCTTATTATATATTAAAGTTAAAAACTGTTGTGCTGCTTAATATTTTTGTGAAAACTGTGATACATTTTTTCATTTGATTAGAAAGTTCAAAATATTTTTTTTTTTAAATGGAAACCTTTTTAAACATTATAAATGTCTTTACTGTCACTTTTGTTTAGTTTAATGCATCCTTGCCGAATAAAGTATTAATTTATTTTTTAAAAAGAATTGTACTAACCGGTAGTATACAGTAATTGCAAGTCACCTTTCTTTGACTACTGTCAAAATGATAATGTTCATTAATCCATTTAATCAAAATCTAATTGTTTCTGTCTCCCTTTTCTTTCTTTATCTCTGTGTCTCACTCTCACTTCAAAATTTGTTCAGCTGCAGAACCAGAGCGAGTTGCGGGCGTACTCTGCAGAGAGAGCAGCATTCTTCCTGGATGCGGCTCTGGCAGCACGCAGCACCAGCAGATCTGACTGTAAGGAAGAGGACCGCCGGAATTCTCACATGCTCTTCACCCTACACATTTCCCAGTACCGTATGGAGAAGAGCACTAAAGCAGGAAGTATGGCTCGCTGTGCTCATTTTCACATTTATTTAGGAAAACTGTATTGAAATGTGATATCTATGAGCTATTTAAGCTATTTAATATATGGCTGTTTGTCTTTTAAGAGCATAATATTTGACTTTTAATGTTGAGAAGAAATGCTAAAGTAATATTTTAAACAGCCATGCCTTAACATTCAGGGCTCTAAATAATTCAACTTCAAAGGCAATTTACCTCCACCTCAAAAATTAAGTTATACCACCTTATCGCTGTCTAAGAAATCATATCATATATCTTTATGCATCATTAGTATTTTGAGAAGACTGCTACCGAGGGCAGGCGATACCTAACTTTGCCATTATCATGCTCTCCATGTTCACAGAGAGTATCAGTTACCTCAGTTTAGTCCCGCTGATAACGGCTCTACGAGAATGCTAACAAGAAGGGTTAGCACATTTTCATTACTGGGCGTAGCCATCCTGTCAAGTCAGTATGTCAACATTAGAATGGTCATTAGTATTGCACTCCCATTGCTGCAATGCAAGCTGGGTTCTGGCCATTGACACTAGCCAGAATAGATTTTAATATGTAATGAGGCTGGAGTCTCTTCTGCAGAGATGTTTATAGAGCCCAGCATGAAATGAGAAGCTCGTTTGCATTCCTGCTCCACAGAGGGTTTCTGTTTTGAATGCTGGCTTTGTAAATCTTGCCGACGTGAGGTTAATGGCCTCCATCTCAGTGTGAAATAAATGCATCTTCTGTAATGATACTGAATGAATTTTACTTTAGTGACCTACATGTGACTGTAATCTAACTAGCTGTACTTACTTTTATTTGCTTGCTGTTTGATGGACTGCCAAGGATATTGAATCACCACTTACCTAGCAGAGATCCTAAATCCAACTGCTATCTCATAAGGTCCCCTGCAACACTGTGATCTGCCGTACCTGTAGCCTTTTTGATGATAAAATTATTTGTCCTGTCTCAGCTTAATGTGCAGAGACAACTAAGTCATTTGTAGGTTGATTTTTTATTTTATTTTGCAGTTGTGCTTTCAGCATCGCTATTTGAGTAGTCCAACATACAGTAGCAAAATTAGCTGTCTGTCTTAATGGATTATTTGGTACTGCTGATGGAGAAAGGGAACCAGTGGTGTATAAAGTATAAAGTACCTGAAAGCCATACTTAAGTAAAAGTACAGATATCTTACCAGAAAATGACTTTGGTAGAAGTTGAAGTCACCGTTTAGAATATTACTTGAGTAAAAGTCTTAAAGTATGTGATATTTATTGCACTTAAGTATGAAAAGTATTTTTTAAAATCTTAAACGTACTTAAGTATTGAAAGTAAAAGTACAAGTAAATGCAAAATGGAAAAGAAGAAAATAAATATATATATATAAAAAATTCATAGACAACTTGAGTAGCAAGATTGTGTTCAGTTTTAACTCTTTCTTCCATTTTGTATTTTTGGGTAAGAATAAGAAGCACTTCATCCGGTACGTATAGTGTCTTTCATTCCAGCATAAGAAAACATTTCTGGAATCTGCATCTTAAATAGCATTTAGATGTATTCACACAGTTTAATGTATCTCAGAGGGGACATGGATGCATTTAACCTGCAGTTACAGATGCATAAATAGGCCAAATGTTTTGTTTTTAACATAAAAAGTTGAATACTGATATTTGAAATGATTTAAAAACATGAAAAAAATTGTAGAAATGTGAAATTAAAACCACCAGTAGGTGTCAGCAAGTGACTGTTAATGAGTGAGTCATTGAGATTCAACCGATTCATTCAAACGACTGATTCATTCAGGAAGCATTTGACTGTGTTAATGAGTGAATCACTGAATCATTTATTCAACCGATTCGTTCAAAAAGCATTCAATAAGTAAACTACATTGCTCAAAGATGCAAAACAGTGCTGTGATCTTTGTTTGAAACTATTTTCGTTGGCAAAATTGAGCAAAAACAAGCAATATTATTTCTAAAATGTAAGTCACTTGCTAACTTTACTGAACTTGTATAAAATGATTATTAAATTTGTTATGCTGATATCTGCAGAAAAAACGGTACTCTTTGTGTGATATACAAGGGCGTGAATGCTTTTTACAAGTTGGAATCTCGTAATTACGGGAATTCCGATATGGCGTGAACACACCTTAACTTGCAGACGCCAGACAACTGATTCGTCAAACCTGCTTTCCTGCAGTCCGTGTTCTTCTGACTTTATTTTGTAGTAAGTAACGAATATGCTTTGGGGAAATGTATCGGAGTAAAAGTATACATTTTAATTAGGAAATGTAGTGGAGTAAAAGTAAAAGTTGCCTGAAATATAAAAACTCAAGTAAAGTACAGATACTCCCAAAAAATACTTAAGTATTGTAACGAAGTATTATTACTCAGTTACATTATACCACTGGTAGAAACTATGTACTGCTCTTTCAAACAGGACAAAAGTCTTACCTTATCTTTACATGTTTTTTTTTCATGAGTGTCTTTGCTTTTTATAAATTTCGATTATGTATAGGGTTTTGGAATTAAGATGTTGCCTGTAAATGATTAAACTCTGTGTTTAAGTAGGAAACCCAAAGAGTCTTTAACATTGACATTGGGAGTGAATTTCTGTTTTAACTTTGCAGTGTCTGGGAGTCGTAGCCGTCTGCATCTTCTGGACTTGGGCAGTTGTGAGTCTGATTTGAGTCAAACACGGGATGGAGGGAGAGGCCAATGTCTGTCATTGGCTGCTCTTGGAAATGTCATCCTAGCCTTGGCCAATGGAGCCAAGCATGTGCCATACAGGTATGTCTTTTGTGGTTCAATTAATCAATATAAACCAATAGCGGGAGATGATAGATCTCTGTCAATTGTGGTAAATGTGTCTCTGAGCACACACTGAGTCCTACCGATCTACATCTGCAAGGGTTTCATTCTCACCCTCCTCAGATCAATGAAGCCAATTAGCCACCTTTGCAGGGAGGGAATGCAGCCAGGGCAAATTGGACTTGAGGTGGGATGTATTGATAGGAATGTGGGTCAGGGAGTAAGAGATTTATGCTGAAAGAAAATTAAGAAATACTCACCGGAAGGTGGGATAGTTAATACAGTGACATGAGCAGGGAAAAATAATATTTTTCTTTTAGATGTGGCTTCAGAAAATAACATCCTCCACAACAGAATAAAATAAAAACACTCCAAATCAGGTCACTAGAGAGTGAGCATCATTTTCTTTGGATTCTTTTTATTCAAGTATGATTCATAATCCTCTATTTTAAGACAACCTCTCAATGATCTTAGAGGGAAAGAGGCAGAACGTTGTAAAGCCTAGCTTCCTTTTTGGCTAACGAGAATATTTTTTATGTATAATTCAGAGACAGCAAGCTTACCATGCTGCTGAGGGAATCACTGGGCAACATCAACTGTAGAACCACCATGATCGCCCACATCTCTGAGTCGCCAGCCAATTATGCCGAATCTCTCACCACTGTGCAGCTTGCTTCCCGTATTCACCGCATGAGAAAGAAGAAATCCAAGGTTTGTGATTCAAACTGATGTATTTATTATTTGAATTATGTATGCTTATGTATTCATGGTTATTTAAAAAAAACTGAAGCACTGCTTCCTGGTACCAAGGTATCCATATAAGGCAGTAAGTATGGCAATGAACCTTTAAAAGTAAAAACTGCTAATTAAAAAAAGATGTTTTGGACCAATATTAATTGTGAAAATGCTATATAACTATAATATACTACTGTATATACTATAACTATAATAACTATATTTTAATTATTAATAATTGAACTAACAATAATATTTCCAAAGTCATTTTTAATATATATATATTTTTTATTTTGACTTTGGTAGAGTGACTACAGTATTTTCTGAAAGTCTTTATTTTTATCAGCATTTTGTCAATTTTATTCTTGTCTGTATACATTCTCCAGTAGGTCATGACTGTCATTATTTTCCTAAATTACATTTTGGCTTTTATTCATCAGAATCATTCAAAATTTAAATAACAATTCATGCTTTGTCTGAGAAACAAATGTTATGGTGATAATTTAGCTGCAAAATTTCTCAGTGACCTATGTCATGTAATCAACAAATGTAATCAATGTATTTGATTTAAATAACAATTCATGCTTTGTCTGAGAAACAAATGTTATGGTGATAATTTGCAAAATTTCTCAGTGACCTATGTCATGTAATCAACAAATGTAATCAATGTATTTATTCCAGAGAGAGAACAGCATGTAACCTATCCCATCACAGAGGCAATTTTCACCATAATTAAGCTGTTTTGACAGAATATATTAATATTTTATAGAGTCCTTTAGCTGTCTAACTTATGCATAGTATTGACAACTATTTTAGCTTATCCTTTGGTGTGCACTTTTCAACTTTGTTGATATTGACATGCTGTTTCTGAAATTATTATGTGCTGTGAAAGAGCTTTCTGCCAAGATATATTGATGTCAGTGTGGTATGTTATTTTGTTCAGTATGCATCGAGTTCCTCTGGAGGCGAGAGCTCCTGTGAAGAAGGACACATCAGACAGAGACCCTTCTACCCTCGGACTGTGGCACTTGACCCAGACCACCCTGCAATGTTATCCAGTGACCCAGATTACTCCTCCAGTAGTGAGCACTCATGTGATACTGTGATCTATGTGGGGCCTGGTGGGACCCCTATCTCCGATCGTGAACTCAGTGACAATGAAGGCCCACCAGCATTTGTTCCTATCATTCCCTCCCTGAACAAGAAGCGTGTAAAAGAGGGGCCTAAGTCTGATGGGGACCACCTAAAATGTAACACCTTTGCAGAGTTACAAGAACGACTTGAGTGTATTGATGGCAGTGACAGCACATCTGTTTTCACCAGTGAAGGAAAAGGCCAACAGACAGCCTCCAAAAGTGGACTGGAAAGCATGTCAGAAGGGGCTTCTGTATCAACCAGGACCGCCAAGTCCTCTCTTCAAAAGCCTGCGCACCTGCAATATGGGACCACATCTGAAATTAACACGACTTTAAGGCAAGATTCAGAGCCTGTTGTGAGAGAGAAAGTCTTTAATAGAGGACCTATACAAAAACCCAATGCCTCTTCATCCTTGCAGAGAATCTCAAAGACCTCAGTTTTGAATACCGAGTCGATTTTAGCTACACGGACACCTCCAGTAGGTATGAGTCAACAAGCCCTAAGGCAGGGAGAACGCAATGACTCCCCAATTACTGACAGATCCCATCACCTCAGCAGAAGTCCTGTGGAGGTGAGCCACCTACGTGCTGCTCTGAGGAACAGGTGCCTCGATAGGGATGTTTTAAGGACTACAGTTACACTGCAGCAGCCTGTGGAGCTCAATGGAGAGGATGAGCTGGTGTTTATGGTGGTCGAAGAGCTGCCTGCTGGTCTGGTTCCAGACAATGGGAGACCATCCAGCATCATTAGTTTCAACACAGACTGTTCTTTGCAGGCCCTGGCATCTCACTCACGGCCTGTTAGCATTATCAGCAGCATCAACGATGAGTTTGATGCATACACATGCCAGATGAGCAGGTCCCAGCTGAACCAAGGTACTACTAAGTCACAGGAGGAATTTACAGCTGGACATGCAACTGCACACTCTTCAGTCGGCTCCTGGTCTTGTAAAACAAATATTTGTACCCCAAGAAGTGATGAGACTGAAGGGAGCCTCTCGTCAAGGGGAGTGCGCAAGGGACCAGTCAGCAACTCCATGATGGATTTACCTGGTGGTTTACACAAAGAATCTTTCTCCCAGCAAAGAAAAAATAGTCCATTGGGTGACAGTGGAATTTGCTTTTCAGAACAAGACTATGATTCTGCAGCCATTGACAAATTGTCCATATCTAAGTGCCCTCTATCTCATGACAGTACCAAATCATCCCTCGGTGGTCCAAAGTTGATAAGATCTAATAGACTCATAACCTCACAGTCTGCCCAAATCTCATTCATTTCTACACTCCCCAGAAAGAGCATCCAAACAGCATCTTCTAGCAGTAGCTACAGCCATGAGCTACAACACCAAGGTAGCAGAATAGATAAACAATGGACCCACACTAGTAGTGGGCTACACTCGGCCAGAAATTCAGAGTTTAACTCTGTTAGCAAACCACCAAAAAATGGCACGAGTGGGATTCCGTCTAGAAAGACAGGCGGGAATAGCAACAGTGTACCTCGCCCTCCTAAAATACATGTGTCATCCACATCTCAAAGGGTTGTGGATGGTTGTGAGAAGTCGAGCATTAAGAAAGGGGACCTGAGCAAGATGCCCCAGCTCAAGAGAGGAGCCACCACTCTCGGCATGGTCTCAGTGCCCCATAGTTCAAATGAGATGAAATGGGGTAATGATTCCTTGCAAACGACTGGTAGCCTGAAATTCTCATCCTTAGGAAAGAGAGCTAATGGACAGAAAGGTAGTATGCTCCCTAAGTCTGGAAGCATGTCACCCCCTGCTCCACCTGTCCGAAAGTCAAGCCTCGACCAGAAAACACGGATTTTGTTGTCTCCAAGTGCCTTAAAGTCTGTAGGTAATGATGGAACAAGATTGTCTTCCTCCAAAGCATCGGTTTCTGAGGAGGACTTTGATGTTCGAGTTAGAGGGGAATCCGTTAGCTTTAAGTCATCCAGCCTGAAGACAGCTTCTAGTCTTATATCACATAATGCTAAAGGAGACAATGGAAAGCATTTTGGTAGTCTTATGTCCCTTGAAAGGTGTGACAGTTTAACCTCAGTGGGTTCCAGACCAGTACCCTCAAGGGAAAACAGTAATGTCAGTATCAGTAGCACTGGCAAATCTGCTAAAATGGTGCCAAAACTTGGGACGCCCTGTTCAATATCTACACCAACTGCCACTTCCCCTCCATCTACTAGTGGAATTTGTAAGCTTGGACATATAAAAGCCAGTATAACTCCTAGATCCATTGTTGGGAATGGCAACAAAGGAAAGGCCTTGTCAAGTACTGGTTCAAAATCTTTTAGCTCCTCTACCAAGTTCCTTGCTGCGTCGGCTGCTCGCAATACCAGTCTACCTCCAACTGGAAAACCCCCATCTCACTCTGTCATAGGCTCCAATGCTAAACAAGGAAGGGGCACTATTATGGGCACAAAGCAAGCTATTCGTGCAGCCAACAGCCGGGTCAGCGAATTAGCAGTTGGTAGCTCCAAGAAACAGCTCAGGGGCTCTGACCAAGCAGATGGCAACAATGATGCCAGAACTTCCAGCGAGACACCATTGGCTGCTCCTTTGCCTTCTCCTTACAGCAAGATCACGGCCCCTCGCCGTCCTCAGCGCTACAGTAGTGGCCACGGTAGTGACAACAGCAGTGTACTTAGTGGTGAACTGCCCCCTGCCATGGGGCGCACTGCACTTTTTTATCACAGTGGAGGCAGCAGTGGCTATGAGAGCATGATCAGGGACAGTGAAACTACAGGCAGTGCATCTTCTGCCCATGATTCCATGAGTGAAAGTGGAGTGTCCACGTCCAGTCGAATAAAGGCCTCAAAATCTCCCAAAAAGAGATCCAATGGTGAGTTTTACTGTGAAACCACTCAGGGCATTATTTACTGGTGATCAATTTAAGATGTATTTATTAGATGACCTTCAAAAGTTTGAAAGGAAAATAGGTAGTACAGGGAAGGTTGTTGTAATGTATGTTGTAATCAGGGTTTGAAATTAACACCCGCCAACCCGCCAAATGCGGGTAAAAATCAGCTGTGGCGGGTAACGCTTGTCAAATCACTAGCCAATTTGGCGGGTTACTTTTCGTAAGTTATGTTCACTAATTAATTTCTTGGGGAAGTTCATGCAAGTCAAATCTGTGCAGGTTTAGCGCAAATACTGAACTCGTAAGACATCATAACATTATCGAGTATATTGCAAAAACCAAACAAAACACACCTACAGAGTGCATGCATACGCGACGTGATGAAGTCTGGTTAGACTAAGTTAGTGCGCGTACGCATTTAGAGTGAGTTCATTCACTGCATGATTTAGCCTATTAATATGCATTAAGAATGATCAGATAATTCAAGATAAGGCAGCAGAAAATTTATATATTTATATAAATTCATATAGTTAATCAATATCACACGAAGAGTATTATTATAATTGACTGATTAAATGTAAGAATTTGACTCAAAAGATGATGTACTTTAAGAAAAAAATGCCCATAAAAGGTAAAAATCTATTTAAAGTTATTGGAAAAGATTCATTTCTATCACTGCTGTGAACTGACCACACAGAATATGAAGAATATCAAAAAAATGCGGGTTACTTTTCGTAAGTTATGTTCACTCATTAATTTCTTGGGGAAGTTCATGCAAGCCAAATCTGCGCAGGTTTAACGCAAATACTGAACTCGTGAGACATCACATTATCAAGTATATTGCAAAAACTAAACAAAAAACACACATACAGAGGCACGCATACGCGACGTGATGAAGTCTGGTTAGACTAAGTTAGTGCGCGTACGCATTTAGAGTGAGTTCATTCACTGCATGATTTAGCCTATTAATATGCATTAAGAATGATCAGATAATTCAAGATAAGGCAGCAGAAAATTTATATATTTATATAAATTCATATAGTTAATCAATATCACACGAAGAGTATTATTATAATTGACTGATTAAATGTAAGAATTTGACTCAAAAGATGATGTACTTTAAGAAAAAAATGCCCATAAAAGGTAAAAATCTATTTAAAGTTATTGGAAAAGATTCATTTCTATCACTGCTGTGAACTGACCACACAGAATATGAAGAATATCAAAAACTTTAGGAGTCAGCTGTCCACGGTAGTCCTTAAGACCGTTTGCAACGGTCGCTTTTTCACACGCAGTATAGACAGCCTCAAGCTGTTGGTTTATTTCTGTCTTTTTTTTGTTTGTTTGATTGTTGTTGTTTTTTTTGGCTAGCAGAAGTTATGAATGGCCGGTAACTTAAAAATTTAGTAGCCAAATTGGCTGGTGAGTGAAAAAGTTAATTTCAATCCCTGGTTGTAATGTATCTGTCAATTAATGATCAAGACTTAGATACTGAGGACCACAAATATTTCCATCCTCAAAATGGTTTAATAGATTTTACATCACAGTTGTCCAGTATGACTACCCCTACGAGCAGTCAGTGGGGACAAATGGGACCAAATTCTCCACTATGGTGTGTTTTTTACAGTCTGACATAAAGACCATTGATGTTGCACAGTGTGTCATGGCTTTTACTTAAGATTCCACCAGGACAATAAATATTAGTAAAGCATTCCATCTAGCCAGTCAGTCTATTTAGTCCATTTAAATTTATGAACCCAAGGTTATTAGGCATATCTGGTGTTTAATATGTATTCACCCTATTCTGTAATCTGCATTTACCCAAAAATAATTTTTGCTTTAAATCCTTTAACCTCTTGCAAGCCTCTTGCATATTTAAAAGCATGCCCACAAACTCTGCTGTTCATCTTCGGCCCACATAAAGAGCATTACCCTATGTGACCCCTCCAGGCCTGCAGCGACGCCGTCTGATTCCTGCTCCTCTGCCAGACACCTCTTCTCTGGGCAGGAAGGTTGGTGCAGCAGGCCAGTGGGTCGATCTACCTCCACTGGGGGGTACTATGAAGGAGCCCTTTGAGATCAAAGTGTACGAGATTGATGATGTGGATCGCCTTCAGAGACGCAAAGAAGGGTTGACAGAGGTAAGAAGACAGTATGTTTGACAAGTGTGTTCTATGCTGTTTGTATGCTAATTACGAAGAAAATAGCAAAAGTCTAGCGTGGAGTAAATAACTGTGTTTAAGTAGTTTATGTGTCAAGTCATTGGTTAAAAATAAATATAAGTGTTAGGATGAGGCTAATAGGCTATTAGAAGTGGAGTAAATTGAAGAAGTGGAGTATTTCCCCTATATGTGACTTTTCAATTTTTTTATTCCTCGTAAAACAATCCTACAATTGATTTTCAATCCTTTTCACTTTAGTGTTCAGCATGTGGCACAGTCCCAGTATGATGGAATAAAATCAATATTTCATTTATGCTAAACTCAAAAGCATCAGATAGCATGATATTCTGATGATTCTCTCACATCTGACAAGTGCAGTTGTCAGGAATGAAGCTTATCTCTGTGACAATTACTTATGTTGGCTAATTGATTTTAGATCGGACTGATAACTTTAGTTAGACAGGGAAGTGTGTAAAGATGAACAAAGGTCTTTCCAGAGAGAGGAAGAGATGGTGAGAGAGATAGAAGGAGAGAGAGCATCGGGGAGGGGACAGGGGTGCCCGTGATGAATGAGGTGTGGCACCACAATCTGTAGCCCGCCTGATTGGTCTTTATGGCCCACTCCACACAGTGCGTCCATGGGTCATTAACTGTTTCTCTGAGTTTCTAACCCTGATCATACAGGCAATTGTGTAGAGAAGATGAGAGGAAAAGACATTAACTCAGTCGAATGACGCTCTGATTTATTTTCAATTAAGAAAAAATGATCTCAGCTCGCATATTAGAGTCTGGCAGTTTGCTTATAAAGAACTAGGCTGTTCAGTCCCTTGTTTTATGTGAATCTGTATGTATATGTGTGGGTAGGAGGTTGTATAACTGTTAAGTTTATATTTGTTTGGTGAAATTGGACCTAAATTGGACCCTGTATGGCAGAAATAAAGCGCTATATAAATGCATTATTCATTCATTCATTCATTCAAATTTAGGGTGTATTCACACCTGTCTTGTTTGGTTAGATTGAATCGAACTCAAGTTCGCTTCCCCCTTTGATGCGGATCTTTTGAGCAGGTGTGAATACAGCAATCGCACTCGGGTGCAGACCAAACAACCGTACTGAGACCCAGCTGAAGAGGTGGTCTCGGTCCGCTTCCAAACAAACTCTGGTATGGTTGAATGTATGAACCAAAGAATGGATGACCTTAAGCACACGTGTGGTTTTGTTTACAGTTTCTGGTTCACTTGCAAAAAGGGCACCAAACTAAATAAATCAACATTTTATTTGGTCCGGACCAAAGCAAGTGAACTAGTGGACTTTCCTGGTGTGAATACACCCTAAATCCTATTTGCTGTGGGCATAGCATAACAGCTTAAATTAGTTTTTCTTCGTCTATAGTTCACGAACCTGAGATATTTGCAGTTAAGAAAAAGGCATTTCAATTGTTATTGAGCATTTTCATTTACTTTCTAATGGCCACCTGTTAGTGACAAAATAAACATGATAGGAGTAGAGTAATCTATACTGTAATTCAACCTTTCAGTAACAGGTTCCTCTTGAACAGGATCTTTCTTTTTAATCCTTTAAGCAAACGTGCCTTTAAGAGACCTGCAAGTATTTAACCTGGATGCTAATTTTATTTCCCGCTTGGCCCTAATTAATCTGACCAAAGGGCTGAGGACCTAAATCCTCTTTATAGGTTAGCGAGCATTGAATCAATTCGACTTAAGCCACTGCACTTTAAATCAGCCCTGAGGAGAGCTACGCAGTCTAGCAGGTGATTGGAATAGGTACAAAGGATTGTGGTTGACTGTATGCAACTCACACTGCTGTCCCACACTTGCAGGGTTTGCAGTACTTCAACGCCCGCCTTAGGATGTTGGAGAAGAGGCAGCAGCAGATCAGGGAGATAAGAGCCAAGTATGAGAAGCTGAAAAAAGAGTTGGAGGATGCCAAGACTCGTCTCATGCTGGACCCCAGCAAATGGATGGGAGAATGTAAGTTCCCAAGTGTATTGTTGTTTATTTTGTTTTTCATGCTAATGAATATCAAGTGATGACTTTCCCCCTTTTTAAAGTATTATGACAAATATATTGTCATGTATGAAGTCCCATCTACGCATGAAGATAGAAAATGCTAGAATTTTGTTGTTACTGCACTAAAATCAAAACAAATTGTCAAAATATTATCTGAAGAATATTTACTTCTTATTAAGTTCATACAGTGTCCTTTTTCCATCCTCTTATTGTTTAAAAACTAGGACTGTCAGTAGAACAAAATAAATGTGATTTATGATCTTATGATACTAACTTTGATGCCTTATTGATGCTAATTTTCTTCTGGCCCCCTTGTGGCCCCTTTGACCTCAATTTGAAAACCTTTGATTTATATGACACTGAATATTAACAAGTATTATACAATAATAGTACGTGTATTTTGTTTGACTGAACTTATTTGTCATACTACAAATTTCACATGCTTTCAGCCAAAATGACTTTCTTTTGGCATTTTTACCGTGACACTTTACCATGCATCAAGGTCAGGAATGATTTGTTTTACCATACATCTTACACAGCATATGTGTCCCAGTAGTGTGATGTAGACTAATGGCTCCCTTTATAACTTTAATTTAAGTGTTTGAACTTTGTGCCAGAGGAAATGATGAGGTATTGGTGCATTCACAGAAATGTCTAAAGCATTGGCTTTACAATACAATAATGGATGACATTGATTTTCCAGAATATTCTCCATAAATGTAAACTGTGAAACAATTTGTTGAGGTTTTTGTAATTGGGATTCTCTTTTACTGTTCTTGCCTTCAACACTTAAGCTGTAAGAACGAACTCTGGACACAGACTTTATGACGTTTAACCTTAATGTTAACAGTGAGTCAGCAAATGGTATATTATTGTATTTCAGGATTTTCTCAAACAAAAACAAATACCTTCGGTATCAAACAGGGCAAGAAAATTATTTGAAGAAAATGAAGCTTAATCATGTGATTTGTATTGTTTACTCTACTGAGAATGAAAAAGAACATTGCCAGCAGCAAAGAAAGCTCTGTTGATTCTGTATCTCTGTTTTATTCTGTATTCGTCCCTCAGTTTCAGTTAGAATTGCAACTATTACAAACCACCAATACAACAACCATGATATTGCGAAGTATCTGTCTCCATTTTGCTAGAAGAAACACTTTTGTAAACAGTATGTGGGAGAAAAATCGGCCGTGTCTGTGTGTGTTCTTGAATCAATAAGGTATTATTTTTCTAAGGTATTAATGGGTATTATTTGCCCACTGGCCAGGTGATGTTTACCATTCATGTGACTGCTGTCTTGGGTAAAGCTGTGATTGGTGCTGTCATGCTGTATAAATCAGCTCCTCTTCAGAGCCTAATAAAATGAGGATGGTGTTTCTGCAAGCCCATCTCCCACACCAACAAACCATCACATGCAGAGATTTTTGTTTATGTTCTGAGTGATAAAACTGTCAATTTAGGTGTGTCAGTAGGGCTGCATCTCACGTCTTTATTATGTAGTACAATAATGTGGATTCTACGTCTGTATTTATTTTAGAGATTGCTTGATTTTTATATTCATACATGTTGTAATTAGAGCTGTATTCAAATGAGTTATTCAAATTAAAATCAAATTTACAAATGATTTACAAATGCAAATTATGGGATCATTTAAAACATTTGGTTATCGTGGCAGACAATTAACTCTTTGAATAAACGCTGCAAAAAGTAAATTCAGTCAGTATATAATTAATTTTATGTCTATATCATTCAACATAGGCCTACTATTTATTTATTTATTTAAAGAATTTTGCACAAAATTAGCATGTTAAATTGGCTTAGCATGACTGATCGATCAGTCAGTCCATCAATCAATCATTTCAGGAATTGAATGTTAAATGGAAAATTTACATCCCTTGTTATAACACTGTAAGTTTAAGTTTTAAAATAATAATTTTGTTTACATTTTTCACCCTTTTTCCATTAGTTGATGTGGACCCAGATCTGGACCAGGAGTCACAGGACTACCTGGAGGCTCTGGCTCAGGCCACAGGAGACCTGGAGTTTTGTGTCAACCTATGCAAGTCTCGTGTGATGATGGAGACCTGCTTTGATATCGCAGTGCCCGCGATCCCAGGGCAGAGTGGACAACAGGAGATGGAGGTCTAAGAGAGAACAAAACAGGATGTTGTTTGCAAGCTAGTTGTGAGTTACGGCAAGACCACTTCTTTTCTGGAATTGAGACTGTCCTTCTTGGAGCAACGCAACAAGTAAAGGTATTGAATAAGCATGGTTAAAAACTCCCTGAAATTCTGAGAAACAAAGAGACCGAATAGAATAAGAGCAAGACCGTGTCCTGAGATCTTCTTTATACTTTACCAGGAAGTGCCTTAAACCCAAAAAATCCCAAGAACTATCTTTGTTTTATGATTGGTGCTAGTATTGAGACCAACTCTCCCAAATACACTTTGAAAAAGTATTTTGCATTGCAGTGCAGTGTATAGTGTATTTATAAGAGCTAAAGTGTGTACAAATATAGTTTTAAGTATTAAACACAAAAAGTTAAGAAAAAACTCTCCATACTATTGCGTTTTCTAATATCTAAATGACCACAATTAGAACTCTTTGACTTTTTTCTTCAGCGTCATGCAAAACTTGCTTGCCCCTGATAGATGTGATGTCACTTGATTGGATAAAGATTGGAAAAGCAGTGGCACTGTTGTCTGTCTTCATTTAGTTACAGTCGCTCTGCATAAAGGCCCTGGTATACTTCACTTTCCGCGTTCCGTTTCTACTCGTGCACAATTGCGTCCGCTTAGCTTTCATACTCAACCACGGATGGACGAGCTCGACACATGCACAGTACCACCTACTTGACTCGTTCTGTCTAAGCCTTCACCTCGTGCCTGCGTAGTTGTATGCGGATCGTCCACGCAGTCACAAAAATTGGGCTGCACGCCGACAGTGTGCATGGACATCCGCCGACACTTCTGATGATGAAAATTGCATCATGAGGACAATGCGGACCGTCGCGGAACACGGACAGCTGAAGTATACTTTGGGGTTAATGATTGGCTCTCTGACGACATGTCATTTCCCCTGATCCAGAACTACTACTTTAAGTGATTAATGCAGCTGGTGGCAAATCAGAAATTAGAGTTTGTCTCAAACACTTCTCAGGACATCAAACTGAAGTGAGTTTGTACTTACAAATTTCAGTGTGTGCTGTATGCGTTATACTGTAATGTATGCATGTGTCTGTTCTTCTCTGATCATGCAACATCCAGCATTAAGCTGGTATCTTTTAACGTGGTAAACAACTCCACTGTATCTACCTGAGCTTCAAAAGATTATGCCTTTCTTTTGCTGAAAATGTTCAGATTTACAAACGGCTATCATCTGTTGACAAATTCACAGCACAGGACCTTCTCCTCACTGTGTCCAGTGATTTATCTTCAGCCTCTGATGTTTGATGATTTTTGTTTGTCATAAAGTGTCTCTGGAGAGAAGCGTGACTGCTGTTTCTCATAAAGAAACAAATACAAGAGATTATTTGGATTTGCAAAAGTTTGAAGTAGAATATATGGCTATTTTTTACATCTTAAAATTCTTTCTTTGTTTTTGTTGTTAAACGATCCTTTATTTAAAAGAGAGAAAAACGACTCAGGCTAAGTTGCTGCATGCCATTTTTTTTGTTCGTAAAATTACTTTTTTTCCCTTTTTGTTTTGTATGTTAGTCTGTGATTTCTACTAATAATTTAAGTTTAACAGATATGCCAAGCATTTAGACTTTTTCAACGTCTATGACATTTTACCAGTGTTCCTGCTTTGTATTGTACAGTTTTTTATGCTTTTTAAAAACCATGTATAGACCCCTAAGTTTGCATTAACATAAAATTATGAATAAAAAGAATGTTTCCTCTTTATAATTATTTGTGTGGCTATTTCATTTTTCTACATAATTATTTATTTAATATCATTATTATTATTATTTATTAAGTATTTTATTTTAAAAGAACATTCAGGTTTCTTCTGTTATAAAGGGCAGAGTACAAATCACATACAAATTTTGTACATAAGAATGTATGTGCAAAATAGACTGCAAGACTGAATGAATTCCATAATTTTGGTTTCTAACAAATGATAAAACTTTGAAAAGTATCTGTGTTTTATATAGTTGCATTTCACTATATCTTGCATTTTACCAGGTTACCTCTTGGAGCTTATGATCAACATTCAATAGGAAAATAAAAGAGCTACACTGCCATTCAAAAGTTTGGGGTCAGTAAGATGTTTTTTTTATTATTAAATAAATGAATACTTTTATTTAGAAAGGACAAATAAAATGAATTAAAAGTGACTATAAAGACTTTCTTTCTTACAAGCATATATATATTTTAAATAAATGCTGTTGTTTTGAGATTTCTATTCATCAAATAATCCTGAAAAAAAAAAGATAAGACATTTTTCTCGAACACCAAATCAGCATATTAGAATCATTTCTGAAGAATCGTGCAACACTGAAGACTGGAGAAATGGCTGCTGAAAATTCAGCTTTGCCATCGCAGGAATAAATTACATTTTAAATTCAAATAGGAAAGTAATTTTAAATTGCAATAACATTTCATATAATATAACTGATTTTACTGTATTTTTGATCAAATAAACGCAGCCTTGTTGAGTATGAGAGACTTCTTTCTAAAACTTTAAAAAGTCTTACCGAGCCCAAACTTTCAAATAGTAGTGTGTAATGTGATATGCCCATATAATATAAGTTACCAACCAGATGAACAAGATCACATTTCACATGTGCAGGAGAAGAGACTGTGTAATGACGACTTGAAATTAAAGCAATCGTTCACTGTGGACTTGTTACATTTTTACTGGTCACAAATAGGGCAGATGAAAAGATGCTGCAACACAGATGGCTTGAGCCAAAACAAATTTGAGAATTTAATCATACCACGGATTAATCTTCATTAGGTTTTCAACTCTATAAATGATGGTATACTAGATTATTGATTCATTTATGCTCTTGGGTATTGTAAGTCTATAGACACAGAAGAGACCTGAGAGCTGTAAAGGCCAACAGGGCAAAATCCCTTTATGAGTGATTCCATTGGCAGGTTATTCCACCTGCTCTCTCCTGTTCTCCTCAGCAGATGGTCTCATCAAACAGACCGAGACGTTTAAATCAGTCTCTCTGAAGACATTTAGCTGTTTATCCCATAACATGTCACTGAGAGTCACCAAGTGACCCTGTCAAATTTACTGACTAGAAGCACACCGAATCTGTTCCCGCAGAAAATCTTGGAGAATTTGATCACCCGTCATCCCTAAAGTTCTACACGTCCATCAATTGTTGGTCTCCTACAGTGAGAGCCTTTGATGCATCTCTTTCTGTATCTGCCTGCCTTTGTTCATTATGTACAGGGATGGGGGAGGGCAGGTTCAAAAGCAGACAGTCCAACCCCCAGGCTCTGAATGTGATTGAGTTCTTCGTCACCCTGTGAATATGTACAACAGAAACGGACAAAATGAAGGTGGAGTCCGTGGTATTTCAATTCCATCCTCTGACACAATGCTACTGCTTGCATTTATATTGAAAACTTCCATAAATGGGAAAATACTTTGAAATTCATGACAGAATGCATGAATAATCTTATAAAATGAACAGTGGTGATATAAAACTACACCAAATCGTGTTTTCTACAGACTGAAGCATTAGCCAAATATCAGTGTGCATATATGCAAAATATGTGGTTTTAATGCATTGAATAATGAAAAAAAATAAAACATAATATCCTAACAACAAACTCTTAGTTTATTCTGACTACTTCCACACTACGTTTTTTTCCCCCAAGCAAATAACCATTGATTTGTTTTGTTTTGCTTTGCTTTATTTTGTGTTTCATTTTGCTTTTTGTGCTTTGGTTTTGTTTTGTTTTTGGCTTTTGAGTTTTGTTTTGATGTTTGGGTTGCGATCTTATATTTCCTGCGCATGCACAAGATCCATGAAAAGGGTACATGCATTTATTTTTGGTATGCAGGAATGCTTGTTCTCAACACACTGCCTTCTATGATGATTGAGGTTGCTGTGATGCCTTGATTGGGGAGCTGAAGCAGTGAACCAAGCAATGGGAAGTCATTTGCTATGAACAAGGCTTATTTCCTGGAGTGACAGGTCCACACTGTGAGTATGCTTTGGTGAATACACTGTGATTGGCACATAGTGGTGACAAGGTGATGTATCTTTCTTTTACTGGCACACTGAAATGTAAGGGTGAATAGTAGCGGGGTTAATTGCTCCTTGTTGTGAGAAGCCAGTGTGCCGCCTGTCACGCCTATTGCATTAATCCCATCAGAGGCAGCATGTGCCCATCAAATGCATGGCAACGGTTGCTGTGGCTCCCATTTGAGAATATAGCCTTGCCTAGCCTGCGGTAATAGTTTTTAAATTCATTTTTAGTTGCCGTGTAGACTGGGCTCGGATATTTTCCTTTTTTGTACATGTACATCACTTGTGAAAGAGCAGACATTTTGGGCTGCCAGCTATACTGAGTAAAATGGGTTACTTTTACAACAGAACAATATTGTAACAAGCACTCAAAAAAAAAAAAAAAAACCCAGAGTCAGAAAGGTATAGAGAACACACATTTAAATCATAGAAAGCTGTTTATGCCTTTACAGTTTGAAAGATATTTTCTCATCCCAAGAGAGGAGACTATACATCATTTTTACTGTTTGTTGTGCCTTGAGAGCTCAGATGAAATGGGATTTATTGACTCATTTTAGGGTAAATTAGCCTCTGTTCTGAAGATAGCCTGGAGCAATCTATTTTGTTTTCCCTTCCTCAAACTGAGTATTTGCACAAATTCTTAATTAATCTTTGTCACGTGACCTCTGCCAAACTATTTGTGTCAATTAGTTGTCAGCTGCTTTAATAGCACAGTTCATTCAGGTCAAGATCAGCATATTTATCTACACATGGCAATAAGCTTTTGCTGCCTTAATGGAAAAACAAGCAACAGGCAATCATGCAAGAAATGTTTTAAGACTATTTTTCTAGTCTTTTTTCATCGTGCACACTCTATGGCCCTTCAGTACTGGCTATCATCTCTTTGGGGTGATGTTTATTAAAGTTAATGTTGTCAGTTCAACATGCTACCATTTTAAACATTTTGAAAGAATTAAAAAAATAAACCATTTTGAAAGAAGTCTTTTCTGCTCACAAATACAGCATTTCTTTGGAAAATACAGTAGAACAATAAGATTGCAAAATATTACAATATTTTAAATAACTAAAAATAAAATAATAAATACATATATAATTGTTTTCTCTTTAATATATATATATATTTTTAATTCTGAGATGACAGCTGAAGTTTCAGCAGCAA